ATTAAATAAATACATATGATTCATAACAAAACATTGGGTACTACTTAGGCCACCTACAATAAAGCACTAAAATGGAGACTGGCACTGAAGCTTCTGTGTCTAGGGGTATGGAGATTCAGGGGTAAGTGTAGACATCCGTGTACTGTGCATTTCCTCCTGGCTCAAGTCAGATTTCAAATCAGTAATCCAGTGTGAGATTCAATATACCCTCTAAACTTCCTGTTTTTGGAACTGAATATTTTGCGATACACAGTTGAGATAAGGGATAGTTACAAGGTGATGGGCACAGCTTAGTAGGGAGGGTCTATATACTGAATATTTTGCGATACACAGTTGAGATAAGGGATAGTTACAAGGTGATGGGCACATGAGTATTTTGCTTTAACGAATGGAGTGATGTTATTAATACAAAAGTGGGGGACTTATAAGTGAAGTAGGCTTCTTATATAAACAGTATCCACTTGTTACTTGGCATTCAATAATATTTCACGCAGCACAAAGGGTTTTACTAGATTCTTGTGCCATGTTCTTGTACTTTCCAGCCTCAAAATTTGTAGAGTATATTTTCTTTCTTTATTAATTTTGCTATGTGTGAAATTCTGACATAGGAATGGGTAATAGACTGGAGAACTCCTTTTCTTGAGCTGAATAAGAAATTAAGAAATAAGCAATTATTCCCATTCAAGATGTGTAAGAAAGCAACCACCTTAGGAGTGAGATTGATAGAAGGTTCAAGTTGAGTGCACAAAAATCATTTAGGGAGGGATAATATATTAAAGAAGTAAATCTCCATGTGGAGTAGACAGCCCACTGCAAAGACTGAATACCCTATTTGGAGACAAACATACATTTCAGTCTACCACTAGCTATGAGGACTTGGGACATTATTTAATTTCTCCACCTTTAGCTGCTTCATCAAGAAAACCAGGGCTAATCAGAATGTACCTCAAAAGGTCCATAGGCTGGTTCTGGAATCTAATGTGCAGACAAGGTCCTGCATGTTGGAAGTACTCACTTTCTGTGTGTATGATTACAGGGCATTGGATGCAGGCTTCAAACTTTAACACTGTTGTTGGAGGGATAATTTTGATATTCAGCATACATATTTAAAACCAAGCCTAAACATGCAGAAGAGCCACATAAGTGAAAAATGTCCCAGAAAATCTCATGGGTTTGTTGATTTTGCCAGAGGAGAAGCTCAGTGAGTACAAAACTACACTAAAGACTGAAGTGTTGGATAAAGGTTAAAAAAAAATGATAAGGCCAAGGTATACTGTTCAAAGAATATAACACTCCTTAATGGATTAGCTTTGAAAGCAATCAGGTATAAGAAGTAAATGAAGAGTCATGACCATGTTGAAACTCATGCCCACTTTTGGAGAAGACATGGGAAGAGGGGAATAGAATTGCATTTGGACGTATATTGCTCTGGGCTGACTCTGAGGTTAAACTTGCCATCACACTGTGCCGATACTATGGATTGCCTTTGATGACCTCTTGAACTGTCTCTTAAATACTCTTTTTCTCTCCTGTATGCAATTTTTGTCTATGGTTT